GTCTAATTGTTCGAGCGTTCTAAGTACATCGATGTCTCTTGTCCGAAACTGCGGTCCTGGATTGGATTCGCGATCGACCCACTCGAGATCATCTGGGACCAATCGGATCGCTCCGATCATGCCTGCGAGATGGAGATACTCGAGAGGATCGACCACGTCGGCAGCGTCGGGGCAAGAAGCCCGGTGTCGATGTCGTTGTCATCGAAGGGGAGGGCTGCTCTGTGGCATATGCCACGAGTTCTCTTCCTTGATCCGTATCCATCAAAGCGGCCACTCGTCCTTGATTAAGGGCAACGGGGGCCGCAGCAGGGGGAGGCTAATTACGTTTCGGCTGCGGACAGTCACGGGCGAAATGCCCGGGCTGCTTGCAGTTAAAGCATTCGATCTTCTCTGCTGAATTAGCTAGATGAGGGAACTGAGGCGTGAACACTGGAGCAGGCGGAGCAGGCAAGAGCGGAAATGATGCAGGGGCAGTCCGAGCAGGAGCTAGGTTAGGCTTAATGAGCCTGCTCATTATCTGTTCCATCCGTTCCATATGAGCGGCCTGCATTTGGATCAAGTCGCTCATCCATTCAGACTGCTTGGTAATAGCCGTATGGATTATCTGGTCAAGGTGTAGATTGGTTACGGCCCGCGAGGGAGGTTCAGATGAAGTTCCGCTTCTAACGACTGCGATCGATTGATTCACCGGGGGAGATGGAGGAGAAGCAGTCGGGATATCGGAAACGATTCCGCCGGGAAGGTCATGGTCGGGGCGGGGATAAAACCGTTCGACCGCCTGCAGCCATGATCGTCTTTTGGCCATTACATCTCGTGTGGTATCTGTAATATCTTCGTCTCTCTGGCTGATATATTTTTTTGTATCGGTCAAGTCCAACTCTAACGCTTCAGTGATGATAGCCGATAACTGGGTTGTTTTCGGCGGGACCTTTTTCTGCAATTTCCCTTTCAAGGTCGGACTTCGAAGGTGATCAATAAACAAATCTCGAGCGGATTTCTTGTCTCGCCCAGATTTATCCAATGTGGTTTGAAACCGATCCACGAAATCGGGTAGTAGTTCCCTTGATCCTTGGGGTCGATTCTTGAGTACATACCAGGCGGCATCTTCACTAACCGTATCAAATCGAGCCAAGAATGCATGCTTAAAAGTCTCCCAATCTACCCATGTATGCTTTCTGAACCAGTCATGCGATGTATTGCGGAGTAGTAATGTCAGAACACGGGGGACATCGGCTGCGCTGTAGTTTTGAGCTTCGACAACTTCCAGCCAAGCCTCAAGATGGGTATGGTTGGGGAAGAAGGGGAAGGGGGCGTGGATGCTAACGATCACCCTAGTACCGTCCACCATTGGTATTGCTGGCGCAGTCGCACTAGACTGAGACGTGGTCACGGGGCGATCTCGACGAGCTAGTTGAGGGTCTCTCCTACCTCTCACCAGTTCGACTTACTATCATCAGAACCGACACGTGTCGGCTCCAATACCAACCTCACGCCCTGTGCTGTCTTTCGTTCGGAGTGTTAGCTGTGCGGAAAAGAGGCCCAGAAAAACAGCAAGATGGGGTGTGCCAAGGATTTTTGGAAATTGAGTGTGGGGACACAGACGAAAATAAAATCCCCCGTGTTGGTCCGATGGAGCAAGTCGATCGTTTTCGCGCGTCGCGAAATGCGCGCGCAATCAAGGCGGGAAGAGAGGGAAAGATCCAAATTCAATCCAAAAGTATTGTCGTGGCTCCCACCGGGCTACATCCCGTCGTTTAGAACAGAAAGGCTTGGGCATGCTTCGCGTGTCTCGTTTTCGTATTAAGTCTCGCTGTCGTTCGCTGGTTAGTTCCGAGTCTAACGTGGAGGGTCTCAGTCGCGTGGTTCTTTCTTTATGCTCGTCTTCGCTCCGCACACGGTAGTGGAAACCCCTGGGCTCAAAATGCTGACATTCAGTGCACAGAGTGCGAGGCCAGTGGGGTTCTACTGCCGTCCACGGAATGACGATCAACTCGTTAAATGGCAACAACACCGAATAAGATGGGAAGTGCGTATCGATAATGACAAACTTGGCTTCTACGAACCCAGAACAGCGGTTGGCCGGAGGGAAGTAATACTGCCCGCTGATTTGTGCCACGGCTTCTCGTACGTCCCGCTCACATACACGTGTCCTTTCCTCACTGTAAGGAAAAGGTCGCGTTGGGATGAGAGATATGGGAGGTTCGCGCCCAATCGAAGGGTACTTGTTAGTCCACATGTCAATCAATCACAAAATATCCTGAGACGTTATTAAGAATTAAAGCGATTCGCGCGTCCTCCAATCAATCTTTTTGACATAAGAGAGAGAGAGTAAACACAGATCAGCTTGATCACACATAGGGCTACGGGTCCGATCAGTTCAACACAACGTTGGTCCCTGGGTGCCTTGTTTCTCACGGCCGCCTTGTGGCTCGGCTGCTGATGTCGTACAGCATAAGGCAGATGGCATGCGTAGTGCAAACAGAGCTACAGATATAAACACTCGTTCATTCTCGAACAAAATCCCGACGACAATCGTCTAATCAACAAAAGACTCACACATTCCAT